TGGAAGGCATTATTGCCGCCGTGCCTGCCCCTGGCCCCTCCGTAGCCATTTTGGCTCAAGCGGCCTCGGCCACGGATCCAAGCCGCAAGCGATCCCCAAGCCAGCTGGGCAGGGGCAGCCGCCTGGCCAGTCGCCAGGTTTCGCGCGCAGGGCAATCCGCGCGCGTGGCCGCTGTCGGTGCCGGGCGATCGCGGCGGTGGCGGCGGCGGTGGCCGCCCGCAGGCTGCTGCCAGGGCGGAGCCAGTTGTGCTCCCAGGGCCACGGGAGCCATGCTGGGGCTGTTCGTGCGGACGCGCGGCCAACTGGGCGCGCCGCGCGCGCTGTCAGCGCTGCGGCAGACCAGCGCCGCGTGCGCTGTCAGCGCTGCGGCAGACCAGAGCCGCAGCGGATCGCGCACGCTGCCCGGGCGGCGGCGAAACGGCAGCCGCGGGCGCGCGCCATGGCGCCACATTTGGATGCGCCGCGTCGCCACCGGCACCGTGGAGGTGGCGAGGCGGCTGGGGTGGCCTCGTACGTGGACATGGTTAGGCGTTTGTTGCCTTCGCTTGGCGGGTTGCGGCGCCTGGCGCCGCCCCGATGCCGCCGCCCTGGGCTGTTGATTTGCAGCAGGGCTCGCCTGCGCCCGAACGAAGCCCCGCGCAAAGGGAGCTCTGTTATTGGCGCGAGCGCCGGGCGTCAGCCCAGAGCGGAGGCGGACCTGGCAGAGTGCGACCGCCAGGTCAAGGCCTTGGAGCATGCAGTTCAGGCCTCGCGCCTTTCAGCGGTCCGTATCCACGCGGCCACGGACTCGCAGCGGGCGGCTGCGACCAAGCTGCAGGCGGCCAGCGAGGATCTGGCGGAGACACGGCGGGCGGTCGTGCACTTCGAGACGAAGGCGGCGCTGCGGGCTGCGCAGGCGGAGGGCGCTCTGGCGCCCACGCCGCCAGCAGCGGCGGCTCTCTCAGAGGCTGGGGTCGCGGCAGCCTTCGACGCACTGGCAGCCGCCACCGTGTTCCTGCAGGCGCGCGGCGGCGGCGGCGGCGGCGCGGGCGGCGGCGACGCCGCGCTGCTCGTCGAACAGCTGCGCGGGGTGTTTGCCGCTGCGGTGAGGGGTGGGGGCGCTGCGGTGGCCCCATGCAGGCGATGCGGCGGCGGCAGGGGGAGGTCTCGCCGCCTCAGCGCCTGCCGCCGCCCCCAGCGCCGGTGGGGGGCCCAGCGCTCCAGCTGCCGCCGCATTTTCGGGCGCTGCGCTGCCGGGGAGCCTGGTCGCCGAAGCCGCCGTTGCGTCCAGCGCCGCGCCGCTGGGCAGCGGGCCCGACGGCGCTGCGGACCGCGGAGCCGCGTCCAGATCGCGGCGCGAGATCGCTCCCGAACACCAGTCTGCCAAGGCCAGGCGGCAGGTCGCGTTGCGAGCGTGTTCCCGCCGGCCGCGAGCCTCCTCTACGCCGCCTGACAGCCCGGCTAGGAGGCGCGGCCGCTCGCGGAGCCCCGAACGGGGCGCGGCGGCGCCTGAGCGCGGCCAGGCCAGCGTTGCTTGCTGGGCGCGGCGGCTGCCGGGGCTGCCGGCCTGTTCGGCGCCAGATGCCGAGCTGCGGGGGCTCCGCGCGGCAGCGCGGCGCACGGTATGTCGTCGGGGCGGCTTCGCAGCCGCGGAGGTCGCGTTCGGCGTCTTCAGCCCCAGCTGGCGCCTCGACCCAGCTGCCGCGGCGACGATCGCTCCGCTCTGGCAAATCGCGAAGGCGATCCGCCGCGGCCACTTCCCAGCTCAGCGGTGGCGCAGCGCGGCCGGCGCCATCGCGGCGGGGCGCGGGCGGCAAGCGCGCCGATCTCGTCGGCAGTGCGCAGCCTCGCGGTGCAGGCTTGGGCACGACGTCGAAAGCTGGGCTGGCGTCCGGCCGCGCTGGCGGGGTGGCGCCCCGCGGAGCACTCGTTGCAGGAAGCGCGAGGCGTGCTCCTGGCCGCCTGCGCCATGGCAGAGTGGGCCGCTGGGCCGCAGGTTGCTCGAGGAAAGGAAGCTCGCGCCAGACTTGCGGGTGGCGTCGTTGCGCGATCGGCGGCAGCCAAGTGGGGCAAACTGACGCTGTGCCCCCACTGCCAGGCGCCTTGCGAGGACCCCGAGCACTGGTTCTGGCGGTGTCCGCGCTGGCAAGAGGCGCGGGCGGCTATACGCGGCGAGGCGCCGGGCTTCGCCTTGAAGACCTTCGCGCGCCCCTGCCGCCGGGAACCGCCAGCGCGGGCGCCCTTCCGGAGGGCCCGGCCTTCCGCGCGCTGGCCGAAGGCACCCGCGCGCCCATTCAGCCCCCGCCGCTCAGCGCCCGCCGCCGCGCCGCGCGTGGAGAGACGGCGCCTGTGAGCGACCGACAGACCCGCTCCTGGCCGGGGCGGGCTGGGGCTTACGGCTCGACGGTCTCGACGGCGCCCGGGACAGCAGCGGGCCGGTCGACGGGCCCTTGGCGGCGCGGGGGGCGGAGCTGACGGCCGCCCTGAGCGCTCAGCGCCTCGCGGCGGGCCCTGTGAAGGTGATCGCCGACCCCCGGCTCGTCAGCAACTTGGTCGCGGCGCTCCGGGCGGGGGCCAGCTCGGCAGGATGGGCGCGCGCCGAGGAGTGGGAGCTGCTGGCGCCCTATATTGCCAGAGCGGGGCCCTCGTCGCGCGATGGGTCGAAGGGCGCCGCGGGCCAGCGCCCGGGCTCGCGGCTTGGCCGAAGAGGGCCGCCTTGGCAACGCAGCGGCTGAGTGGCTCGCGGGCACAGACGCGCGCGCAGCCCCCGCCGCCCGCCCTAGTCGCCGGGCCGGGCAACCGCTTGCGCCGTGGGCATCGCGCAGCGGCTGCTGGCAGAGGTCGAGCTGGCTGCCCTGAAGGTGCACCGCAGCAACGCAAGCGTTGCACCTCGGGCCCGCAGGATGCAGCGCTGGCGCCGCGGCCGGCGGGGCAGTGCTCGCTGCGCCGCCCTTTTCGCGGGGCAGGCCTAGCTGCTCCATGCCGCCGCGCGAGGCCCTGGCTGGGTGGCGTGCGTGCGTTGCGGGGCGTCTGCGCCCACCTGGCCGCGGTTGGCTGCGTCGCCGCGCGCGGGCTGGGCCGCCGCGCTGCCGCCGCGGGCGGCGGCCTGCTGCTGTCGGCAGCTGCCTGGGCTGGCGGGCGCGAGGCCAGCTGGCGCGCGGCCGTGCAGGCGCGCTCGGTGCAGCGCTTTGGGCCGCCGAATTATTTCAGTGCCTGGCAGCCCGCGGGCGGGCCGCGTTGCCCCCCTCGATCTCCCGCCCCCTGCCCTTCCCCCCTCTCGGCCGCCCCTTTTTCTGTCTGCCGCTGGGCCTCTTCGCTGGGTAAAACAAGTGCCTGCCCCTGGCCCCTGAGGTGCCGTCGTTCGCCCAGTCTGGCCCGCCCGCTCACCTCCCCGCGGCGCGGTCTCCCAGAGAGGCCCGCGAGCCGCGCGGCTGCCGGGGTCGGGGGCCGTTGAGCTTGAGAGTCGGGACCGTCCTTCTACAACGGGGAGATTCACGAATCGTACAACAAAAGAGCGACTATTCGACTACGCCGTGACTGGGCATAACTATTTTCGATTTGTTGGGGGTAATTTGTTCATCCCAAATCCGCCACTAGGAGGACATGCTCGACCTAACGTTGAGCCTGCGCAGGGTCGCGTTGCGACCGATGTTTTGTTTGGCTTCCGTGGCTGCCCCCTTTTAGGCCTCCTGAACTTTCGGCGCTCCGCGCGGATTTCTTGTATCCGCGCTGGGCCTCCGCGGCGGCTCCTCCTGCGCCGCCCCTGGCGCGCTCCGCGCGCCAGGGACGGGGGTCCAGTGCAGATCCGAGAAATCCGCGCGGAGCGTCAACAGTTGATGTCTATGCCGTTATTTTTTTTTAGGTTGGCTTCCGTGGCCACCCTCTTCTAGGCCTCCTAGATGGGGTCCGGGTAGATGGGGTCGGAGGATCGCGCCGCATAGCCGATGCTTCGACGATGCGGCTCGATGCGGCGCCCGTGCCTCCCCACGCCGACGTCGCCGATGCACCGCCGGCGTCGCCGATGCATCGTCGATGCATCGGCGATGCACTGCCGATGCAGCGCGATCATTCGACCCCGTCCAGTCGGGCCCCATCGGGGAGGCCCCTATCACTTCGCTTCGCTTGTGCCTCCCCTCCCGTCTGGCAGCCTGTCCCCTATGGGCACCTTTGCGTCCTGCCATTCATTCGCCTCCCTCCAGGTCCTCCTCCTCCTCCTCCTCCTCCTCCTCCTCCTCCTCCTCCTCCTCCTCCTCCTCCTCCTCCTCCTCCTCCTCTTCCCAGGCTATCTCCACAGAGTCGTCGGAGGTGCCGATGTCAAAGGCTTCTCATTCGAAAAGCCCTGGCTCCCCCCTCCCCTGTCCATTTCTTTGTCCCTTGCTCCACTCCTAATTTCCCGTGGGCGTGGACAGGAGTGGTCCTCCCGTTCCTTTTTTTCCTCCTTCTCCTCCTCCTCCTCCGCCTCTCTTTGTCCTGCTGTTTCTCCTCTTTTCGATCGCTGCCTCGGAGAGGATGAGGGGTAGAAGGGCCAGGATGTGGAGGTGGACGGAAACATAGTAAACGTGCTTGCCGGTCAATGAGGAGGAGATGAATAACGATGATGATGATGAGGAGGAGGAGGAGGAGGACGAAGGAGGAGCGGACCAGGAGGAGCAGGAGGAAATTCTGCCCCCTCCTCCCTCGCTGCTCTTTCATCGCTCCTCACTTGGTCTTCGGCTGAAATCTCGTGCCTTGGGAGGCGATTCGGAACGATCATAGCCAGTACGGAGGGCCTCGACGAGGCGCATCCGATGGAAGACACCCCGAGGGCCGCCAACCCTCCCAAACATCAGCAATCCTCCAAACCCCCCCCCTCCTCCCCCTCCTCTTCCTCCTCCCCCCCCTTCTCATCCTCCCCCCGTTCTACCTTCGGGGCTGCCCCATCGAGGAAGTGGGGTAGAAGGACGACGACGACGACGACGACGACGACGACGACGACGACGACGGCGGGATATACGACACGGGGACTCCAGCCGGCCCGCGAGTTCCAGCGCGACCAGGGACGCGCTGCGGGCCTACGCGGAGCTGGAGGCGCAGGCGCGCGCGAGCCTGGGGCTGAGAGCGCGCCTCGCACGCGGATCGCAGACGACGCGACGACGACGACGACGACGACGCGACTTCCGTGTGGGGGATGCGTCTCGGGGGCAACGCAACATCAGGAGGACGGCAGGCGCGGGGGGGGACTGCCTCGACCCCGAGTCGCTCCCTCGTCACCGATAGGGGGCCCGATGGCCCACCCCGCCCAGGGAGGTGCGGGTTCGCCGGCGGGGGCGGCGATGTGTCGCCGATTCCAGCTCGATGCCCCGCCCCCCCGAGCCCGTCCCCCTGGGAGGGGGGCGGGGGAGTCGTCTGAGGTTCCAGCTAATTATGCCGCAATGTTTTCAAGCCCGTAGGTATCTTCGATCGTCCGCGCTTCGTCGAGAGCGCCTTTTGATGGGCCGATCGTCCTCCACCGCTACCATAGGAGAGGGAGTAGGGGGAGGAGGAGGGGGGGGAGGAGGAGGAGGAGGAGGGAGGATCAGGAGGAGGAGGAGGAGGAGGAGGAGGAGGAGAAGGAGGAGGAGGAGGAGGAGGAGAGAAGAAGGACCTCCCCATCCTCCCTTCTGCCCCATCCTAAATACGGCAGTGGTGGTGGAACATTGGCCCATCACCTTGCAGGCTTTTTCGCGCCGCCTCCAGAAGTTTTGGGCAGCTTGGGGCCTTAGGGGGCCCTCACTGTGGCTGTGGACTTTCAGAATGCGCCTTGGGATGACAAAGTTGCCTCGAGAAAGTGGTCGAGACTTCTAAGGAGTCACGTTGAGCAAAGACACGGCGTCGGGGGTCTTCCAAGTCCGATCTGATTCCCGCCCCCGGGCACGTTTGTTGCAGGATGATGTGTTCGTCCTGCGCGCAAGTTGCAGTTCGGTGGATTGCGCCCTTTCAGAACGAACAGCGCCCGTGGATCCCCACGCGCCGTATAACAATGTTCAGGAGGAACAGAAACACACAGACACAAGTAATCCTCGATTCCCCAGGAAATATAGGAAAATATGGGAAGTGTGGGGGGGGGGGGGAAGACAGAAACCCAGAAAATATTTGAAAATATGGGCGATCTTCTAATTTGTGTGTCTTTGTTTGTGTGTCCCAGGGCCCCTCCAAATGTGCACCGCGTAAAACGAGAGAATTACCACCGCATTCCCCCCCCTAAGTCCTGCCCGGAAGCCTTCCTCGGCGTGCCCGAGCGTTCCCTGCGGAGCAGTCCACGTCGGACCTCTGGCGGCCGCGCCGCCGTCCCAGTCCTCCCGGGGGGGGGGGCAGCAGGGGGAGGAGGAGGAGGAGGAGGAGGAGGAGGAGGAGGAGGAGGGAGAGGAGGAGGAGGACGAGAAGGAGGAGGTGGAGGAGGAGGAGGAGGGAGAAGGAGGACCTGGCCCCGGGGGGGTTGTATGCCCACCCTCCCCTCGAGTCATTGTGGCGCCGCGGAGGCTCCGCGGCGCCACAACGACTCGATCGTGATGTCGGGCATGTCCCTCTGCAGGGGGAAGATCAACAAAGTAGTAGAACATGGCCTGAGGACGTTCTGTTTGGGGTGATCGTATGTTTTGATTGTTCCAATATTTGTCATTGTTCGTTCACACTCCGCCTGCAGGAGGACATGCCCGGCCTAACTCTATCGCGTCGGCGGGCATGCGGGGAGCGCCGCTCCAGGCGGGCCCGCAGGCTCCCCCCCCCCGAGGAGGCAGCAGGGGAGGGCCGAGCGGGGGAGGGGAGGCGGGAGGGAGAGCAGGGCAAGTCTGGGCGGCACGGGGGCGCGGAGTCAGGCGACCGCAAACATTAGGGGGCCACATGCGAACCCTACCCCTACCCCCCTCAGAAATCGTGGGGGGTAGGGGTAGGGTTCGCGTGTGGCCCCTTAAACATGGATCAAGGGGGCGTGGATTAGCGACGGGTCCCGTCTTCCACGGGAAATCGCGGACTGCCGCCGCCGAGCGAGGCGGCACTGGCCGCATTTTGGGGAGGGCACCTCCCCCGATGCATGAATTTGGTGAGCGCGCGCCAACTCCATGGATCGCCAATCCATGTTTGCGTGCCCCCGAGCAAGGCACGTCTGGGCGGAATGAGGGCGCGGCACAAGGGGTCCTTCAAGCGGATCCCCGGGGCCCCAGAGCTGATGCTCACTCCGGGCCAGGGATCCAGGATTTGTCGGTTGTGGTGGCCCCAGTGGGGGTGTGGACTAGACCTATTCGATCCTCAGATGTGGGCAGGGAGAGTTCTTGATGGGGGGACCTGCAGGGGGAGGGGGTCGAGAGCCTGGCCGAGAGTGTGAGAGGACCACGACGTCGGATGTCTTGTGGGGATTCCTCGCGCGCTGCCTCGGGTCCTGCCCGAGACGCCCACGAATTCGATCCTCGATCCTCGGAGTTCCTACACCTTCTCCTCCTCCTCCTCCTCCTCCTCCTCCTCCTCCTCCTCCTCCTCCTCCTCCTCCTCCTCCTACCACATCCTTCTCCTCCTCCTCCTCCTCCTCCTCCTCCTCCTCCTCCTCCTCCTCCTCCGCCTACTCATCCCCTTCTCCTCTTTCTCCTCTCCCGCCTCCTCCTCCTCCGCCTCCTCTACTCATCATTCTCCGCCTCCTCCTCCACCACCTCTCCTTCCCCACCTCCTCCTCCTCCGCCGCTTCCTCCTCCGCCTCCATCGCCTCCCTCCTCCTCCTCCTCCGCCTCCTTCCTCCTCCTCCTCCTCCTCCTCCTCCTCCTCCTCCTCCTCCTCCTCCTCCTCTCTCTCTCTCTCTCTCTCTCTCCCATCCCAGGGGGGGCGAGCCCCCGCGGAGTCCACGCATGCAAACAAAGTCCTGCTCGATAACGAACTCCCTGTGCGGGCCCACCGCCAGGCGCGCACTATGGACGTGGCCGAGATGGCGACGCCCTCCCAGCTGCGCCTCCACGCCCGCGATCTCGCCAGAGAGCCGCGGGGCGGCGGCCGACGGCAACAGCTGGCCGCAGCCGCAAGCTGGCTGGCCTCAGCCTGCTCCCTCGGAGTGCGGCAGAGGCCCGCACGAGAGGAAGGAGCCCTCGACCAGCGCCCATTCAGTTTCCTCATCCTCCTGCGAGTTCGCCTCAGGGTACCTCTCAGGCGGGACGAGGAGGTCGAAGAGCTCGCAGTCTTGTGGCCACGGTTGAGTGCCACCACTGCGAAGCGCAGGCTGCGCGACCAGGAATGCCTCGCCGAACAGCTCCAGGAGTGGTCGCGGCAGGTCCAATCTGCGGCTGGCCACACATGCAGCAGGCTGCGACACCAGGCCTCGCTGATGCATGGTCTCGGAGAACTGCTGGCAATTGACGGCCAGCACCTGACCAAACTCGCTCTGCAAACCTCCGAGGTCGGCCATGTCGAAAGTGGTCATCGTGGCTTCGGGCCTGTCCGCCAATGCTCGCACCACATCAAGTCTCCAGAGGGCGGCTGCCCGATCGGCCACAGGGGCCGTGTGCAGGAGCAACGCAGCAGCACCCACAGCAGCAGCAGACGCCAGAAACAGGATACCTGCCCTGATCCCAGCGTTCTCTCTGCGCAGCGTCGTAGCCCAGTACGTGCTGAGCCTGTCCGCTCCCCAAGGCTTGTCATGCGGTCGAACTGGTGAGCTCCTGGCACTGGTCGAGCCCTGCATTGCCGTCCACGATGCCGTCGGCGGTGTAACACGAACTCCACGCACTACACCCGTTTGAATCCTTGAGATCATTTTATCCAAGAAATTTGAATCCTCCAAATTCTGAGAATGTGATGGGACGTTGCAATCGATATATAATACAGCCATATTGAAAACACCAGTATATCGGCTCATGATATCTCCGAAATCCTCCTCCAGTCTGGGGCCCCATCCCAGGTGTGAAACATATGTATAAGTCGGATGTACCAGGGGGCTGATGGGCAGCGGCTGCAGCTCAGAAACCCACTGGACACGTGGCGGTAGAGGTCTCTCATCAGGTACAGCTGCCTGTCGTACACCAGGGATCGCATGGCGAAGCGGAGCATTTGACCTGAGTCTTTGCTTCCGTTTGTCCGCTGCAATCTCTTGGTCATGCCTCTGCCACTCAGCAACAGCCTCTGCTTCCAGTGGTGCAGCGGACGCCAGGAGGTATGTGAGGCAAGCACCATAAGGCCTCCGCAGATGCCGCACCAGTCCTGCTCCTCCTCCTCCTCCTCCTCCTCCTCCTCCTCCTCCTCTTCCTCCTCTTCCATCTCCTACTCCTCGTCCTCCCTCCTCCTCCTCCTCCTCGCCCTTCTCCTCCTCCTCCTCTTCCTCCTCCTCTTCTCTCCTCCTCATCCCCCTCCTCCTCCTCCTCCTCCTCCTTCCTCCTCACCTCCTCCTCTCCTCCTCCTCCTCCTCCTCCTCCTCCTCCCCCCCTCCCTCTCCTCCTCCTCCACCTCCTCCTCCTCCTCCTCCTCGTCCTCCTTTGCCTCCATCTCCGCGCGCCCGGGCACAGCAACAACGACAGAAGGTCTTCGGCACTTCAGCCTCCAGGGGGCCTCGTACCAGGCTCCCAGGATCTTCAGACCACTTGGGATGAACAGCAAGGTCTTGGGATGAGGGCCCAGACTCCCAGGGGCTGCCGTCCAAGAATGCGCGGGGGGAGTCCTGCAAGCTTCGCGTGGATAGCTCCGACTAGTACAAGCAGAAGTGCTCTGAGGATTATGAGAGTCGGAAAAAGAAGCAATTGCATAAGCATAAACCTGGCACTGCGCTCGGATTTATCGATCCGCTAAAGCGGCGCCTCTGGTGCCGCCCCTGGCGCGCTCGGCGCGCCAGGGAAAGGGGTCAGTGCAGATCCAAGAGCGCCAGCACGCTTATGTTTATGCCGGTGTCTCGTCTTCCAGAGAGGGAATCTTGAAAGGCAGGTGGTCGGGGGCAACGAAAGGGGGGGGATAGCCATAGGGGTGTGTGCATCGACCCCCAATCGCGCACTGATCGCCGATAGGGGCCCGATGGCCCCAACCTGCCCAGGAAGGTTCGGATTCACTATCGGAGGCCTATCGCCGATGTGTCGGCGATGTATCGCCGATTCCAGGCATCCC